TGAACCTCCCCAGCCCGACTACTGTCTTTGCTCCACATACCGAGCCTGGGCAGGGAGGCGCCTGGCGGCCAGACCAGACTCTACAGTCCGTCATCTTAATTGGTGACAATTGATGTAAGGACGTTAATACTACATGTCGCTAACACTGCTTCCTCCAAGTCTGCCCCAGTATGTGCACTGCGCACTTCCGTGCTTCAAAACGCCAAATGACCCGGCCTGTCGTAATCCATTAAGTCTGTGGGAGTTGGACTCCGGTGCCGGCTGAGCTATGGGACTTCCAGGGTCAAGTTTACGTGATATAAAAAGGTGGCAAACTGAAACAGAAGGCCTCGCAGACATTTGGACCTCGTTACTTCTAATTTTCGTCTGCATGTTGTGATGACCAGACGGACCGCATTTGGTCTCCCAACAACTGACGCCCTGTATTCCGGCATATGTACACAGGAGAGATATCTGGCCCTGCACGAACGGGCTAAAGACGAGACGGTTTTGATATCATTACACGTGTATCATTATCTGTCTTATAAACAACGAACTTTTACTGACCAACAACATGGCAAAATCCAACCCACTCAATCTCAGAGTGAAGAATGTACAACATGTATCTCTGTATCATGTGACTTGTCTGTAGACGCATTCTATAGTTGTCAGGAGAAAGACTGCAGACACACCTAACATTCACGAAATAATCTAGATTGAAAGTCTCTGGACTTGTAGGATCATATCATTTATACGTGTGGCCATATTCATGTCTCTTTAACTTCCTAGTTGAAAGTAGGACGCAGGACTAAAATCTTGGCTCGAAGGACACCGCCTTCTACTCTAACATTGTGAGCTAACGCTAAATTTGGAAATATTGATGCTAGTAATATAATATTTATTTTGCATTGACGAGAAGGATATACAAACTACTGAAGAATGTTGTTCTTCTTACACAAAGAGTACAAAGCAGATGAAGCCATTCATAGAGACAAACAGACGTCTGCCGCTATGCGTTAAGAACATAAACTACATCCACTGATTTCAACTTCACCGTCTGAAATCGTTCGAGCAAGAACATAACCTCCTTGTTTCGAGTGTGTGAGGGGAGTTTTCGGGTTGCCCAGTGGCGACCACAACACCATTTTGAGTGCAGACAAAACCGTCCACTTGTCTGTAATTCCTGTGTGTACGCCCGATTCCCTTCGGCCTTCTTGGCACGACCAGAGAGTAAACTTCGCTATCGGCTAAGATAGCGAGTGGCGCCGCCAGTTTACCCACCGGCCTATTGTTTCTTGAGTAGGCGCCGCGCGCCGCCTGACAAACAATGGACCATTCCCTGAGTGTGGAATGGAAACGACGCCGGGGCTACCACCTTTTTAATTGATATGTAAAACTGACAGGTTTTACCGCGGCCATTATAATCTAATTATATTTGGGGTGGAGAAATCGGAGTTGAAGACAGCCGATGCTGCTGTTAGTTAGTTGTCGGCTCTGTTTGGTGAGTGTCTGGTCTTGAGCGAGGTTTCCGTAGTTTTGACTAGTGCCCACCAGACTCACCTACTTGATAATGCTGTAAACCAGAACCGAAGAGGCCGGATGTGGCAGAGCCGGACAGCGGCGATTTGATAGGGTCGGCAGAAAGACGCAAAACACGTCATTCTGACTGGACAATAAACATATACTACAGTAAAACAAAAGACAGACTGATCCAACCATAGGAAAACAATACACGAGAGAGCAGGGCTAGGGCTTGAGTTGTCCATTTGGTTTGTCTAGTCTGCATATTGATGATCAATGAATTCGATACCTGTGTGATAAAGCGGGATATACTCTCCTAGTGTAAGGCATATTTTCCGATGGTAACTTGCCCGCACGAAAGTTTTAGTATAATCAATATAGAAGTGTTGTGGACACACCACATTTGTACCTACACTGGAAACTAGAGGGAAGGTGCGCAGTGGGTTGCCATGTAAGGAACAATGGCCAGGCAATGTTTTAAAAACAATTTATCAAATGTATTTGACACCTTTTCTATCATCACCTTTGCAGATAGTCGAGACAAAACTGTTTTACTCCAACCGTACTCACTGGCTATGAATATCCCGAAGACTCACTGGTATATATTATCGAATCACAAGCTATCAATGTCGGATAACTTCATTCATGATTTTTTCATGGCGTTTTCTGGTGGTTTAGTTTGTAGATTTTTCTAAGGGCCTTGTTGTTTTACCAGCCTTGTTTTCGGTACTTCTGCTGTTTTATGCGCATCAAAGTAAACAATAGAGGAAGAATTGTCAACCTCACAAGAAGAAATTTGGATGAATGAATGAATGACCTTTATTGTGCGTTTGTGCTATTACAAGTTAAGTGCAGGCCATGAGTAAACAATGCCCAGCGGTAGACTTTTAGATAAAACAGAAAAATTCGTATTCCACGATCCTTATGTATTATTAGCTCCACATGTTCGTACATGTACACTGCCTCAGAAGCGAGACGATGTTGAACCTGTAAATAGTAGTCCACATTAGTATGTATAGTTTAAGTAAGATATTACTGTTTAATGTGATGCTTCCGGTTAAGTTCGGTCCCTCTAATACCATTTCTTTGAAATGTAGGGGCATTTTAGTTGTAGATTTTGAAACAGTAAAGATAATGTATTTTCATTACTAGTATTTTTATTTATTTACACTCCTATATGTTCATATGTAGGTAATGTATATATGTTTATGTTCATGTTCTGTACCCATGCGACCTGTACTTAGTTCTGTAGAACACAAATGTACAATAAAGGTCTTCATTCATTATATTGGTATGGAATACTCAACTAGAAAAGAAAATACTAGTAATTAATCTTGTCATTAATCTACTAGTAATTAATGGAATATCTATACCATTATTGACGATTATCTGTACTTATTGAGAAAAGATCTATTCTTAATGAAGAAGGATAGACTTTGCGATATAACCATTGCGATATTCAAGAAGTCTACACGATCAACTTTTCCTCTGGAACGATCTACAAATTGCTGCAAACCAGTAACACTAGTATAAGCCTCCGTAGCAGGCTTATAGAACTGGGGGTTTTGTGGTCTGTTTCTAGCTGTTTTCTGATAAGCCCAGTTCTAAAAACGGGGGTAATTCAACCAGGCCGGCTATGTTGTCTATATGCAATGAGAAAATAGCACATAAAAGCTCCCAAAGACCCTGAAGACCCCCAAAATCTCCAGTTTTTGGCATGCTATGGAGGCTAATCACTAGTCGCCCAGCAGACTGCAGGTACCCGGCGGCGGCGACTGTTTGGACACAGACTGTTCTGTAAACCGATTGAGCTCGCAAATAGGATTAGTAGTCTCCTCCCCGCTAATATTCGTCTGGACTGGGTACTCAATAGTCTCGTAATGCATCTGTCCTTCACATCCATCTTTCCTTCACATCCATCTCTCCGTCCCTCCTTTTCTCTTTCACTCCTCTCTTTCACTCCTCTAATTCACTCCATCTCTCCCTCACTCCATCTCTCCTTCACATCGGCGTTGCATAGCTCCCTCGGCGGAACCCCCCTCTTCCTAGCCCGTGTAAAAATCACGTATCGACGCTACACACAAAAATTAACATCGCCGCCGCCACACAAGTCTGCGAAAGCGTAATCTCCAAGCAGATCTGACCAATGGATACTGCCTTGCCACCGTATTATCTACTTGGAGATATTAGCTAGACGTAAAATGTAATGTTTGCGGACTGCCAGTTAGGCATTAGAAGGTGTTAGCGATGAGATGAGAAAATAAAATTATCAGCAAACCCGGGCCATGACCCATAATTTTTTCTCTGTCCTCAACAACCTATATTTTGCCGAATTCTACTTTCCATAATTAGGAAAGACCGAAGTCTGTGGGTCAGTCTCGCACTGGTCAACAACTTGCAGCTAAAATTTCGATCCTTTAGTACGGACACAAATACAGAACTGCAATCTATTTTTCCATGGACGGAGATGTCATAGTCATGTCTTTTTACCGCCACTAAAAGGTATTTCTCTAGTCTTTTGTTTTGATTGTCTCTTGTCTCTTCCGCTGGTGCCGAGTGATCCTTATCGGTGTACCGGCGGCAGACTGGAGACAGGCGGGGTTCCGCCCAGTCCCGCCCGCCTGGGGCAGTCACAGCCACACGGACTCATCACTGCAAATTATCATGACTACAAATACATATTTTGGTGTACATATAGAAGAACGTAGAAGGGGCTAAATTACGTGCTTTCTCCAGAATCATAGTGTAAAAAATCTTTTTTTTTTTTATAACAGAAGTCTTTATAATATGACACGTTACATGACTGAACAGTGGCTCTTGTTACAGATTTTTTTCTGGAACAAAATGTCATGTAAACTACTGGCGAGGGAAAGTCAAATATTTGTCGTGAGCGCGAAGTGATATCATTTGTGCGTCAGAGTCAGAGTCAGAGTCCTGGCACGTAACTAACGTTGGGCAAGGTTGATTACATATTGTGTCGCGACAGACGAATAGAATTACGTCATTCAAACATGTACTTTGTGTAAATTTTTGCATTGTTTTCAATTGAAAAGGAAGCTTTTCTCCGCTGTTAATCTGTGTTGATTTTGTAGTTTAATCACTTTGTGAAGCGTGCAGACAGCGGCGGGCAGTGGTTTGTTTATGTTGTTGTTTCCCACTGGTCCTGGGATGTGCCAGGTCAGTTTGTTTACCTGTCCGTACAGAACTGGTACTCAGAGGCGTCAGGCACATACTATGATATCTTAGGTCGTATGTCAAAGTTAACTACACGGTATGTTTGGCCACGTGCACGTTCACAACTAGGTTATGTGGGGCACACATGAATTGTCTATTATATGCACTTCAGTTCTTACACTACAGCATTATTTGTAACGCATGAAACCTACACCCCAAGCAGTGGTTTTGGCTTCGGCTTATTTTTGACGTGTTTTAGGCGTTTTTATCAAGCTTTTTTTTTTACATGGTGGAAAATGGTAACTGTCTTGGAAATGGATACTGCCTGGCCAATTTGAACCTATCAAACTGAACTGAAGTGTACATACTGAGCAGAAATATTGACCATACGGGGGCATCCTGGTTATGATGGGATGGGGAAAAATACAAGTCATACATGTACAGTTTCCAATGGGAAAAGTGTTTTTTTTTCATGCGTTTAAAATGTTGGTACAGTATTACAGTAATTTGCCGAGGCAGTGTTGTTGTCAATTTCATATCCCGGTGGACCAGGATAATTACCGGTTTGTGTCATGTCTCGGCTGCGAGCAAAACACATTCTCCCCTCCCTCTGTAAGTCACTCGGTAAAGATCTGTGCGGATTTTGTATTGAAGCTGAAAGTCGTGTGTCTTGACTCTGGTCCAAACCGGCCCATTCCGCCTGACAGTTGTGTGAGACAAGGTTTGTCCTGCACTACCTCCCACCTCCCCGGCCCGCCCGACAGGGCGCCGCTGCCAGGACCAACCTTCAGCGGCATGAATTTGCAGCCTACACGCCAGGAGAGTTAGAAAGAAACCAGACTAACGAAGGTATGCGGTTAGCGAACGCGATACGCCGCAATGGTGTGTTTGGGGTCTGCCTTTTGTTAGAGCCTCCCAACCAGGACTCTTATCGCCAACTTGGCCGATCGGCTTACAGACAACGAGCACTTATTCATACCGGAGTGTTCAGGGCTTCAGGCACAGGAAAGGCACCACGAAAGGTCCCAAGTCTGGGACTAACTACCCCAAAGTGTTCCTCAAACAACCCTGGCCAAGTTCTACCATCATCTGTTCTACATTTATCATGACTTGTGGACAAGTTGGTTCACAAACACACCGACGTTGCCTGCCTGAGTGTGAGGTCATGAAATTACGATTTTACGGAGAATCCGTACAGATTAATCCACACTAACATAACACAACAAACACAACACAGTACAGAGTAACAACACGTACCTTTCACAACAGCTACCAACAGGCTGGCGAGGAAAAATGGCGACAGCAAGCTTGCCATGGTTCCAACAAGGCAGCGGCCGGCCCCCATGTTGGAAGATTGGGCACGAGATAATATCTCGCACAGAATGTTTGGTGGCGACTGACTCGGCTACCCAGTCAAACTGGTCTTCCTGTGTGGCGTCAGGCGAGGCCGTGTTACTACTGCCAAACGTACACTTCCACTCCCCCGCACTGAAGGCACAACAAGCTAAAAACAACGTGCTGCCTCCCCACCGTCTGTGTACAAAATGTGTCTGCTGTACTCTGTCGGTGACGTTTGCCGAGACCCTAATTAAATCTTGTGGGGAGATCATCCCTCGGTGCCCCCGGCATAAAATAGCAGGGGCGGGGCTTAGGGCGTTACGTAGAGTAGCTCTAATTAACAGTTAAATGCTTGCCGGCGCCGCCGGGGCGGGCTCACAAGGGCTCTAAGTACTTGTGGCCGGCGGCGTGTTGACTTTATAGCTTTTGTTGACTTAATGATGTCGCGATAATCGCCGTTCCAGCAGCGTGCAGCGGGGTAACTGACCTTACAGAAACACCAGGCACAATCGTTAACATTGCCGAGAAAACTCTCATATTTTCCGGCATGTGAGTTGGCAGGGCAGGCCGTGTTGTCGGGTGTGTTTAGAGTGGCAGTCCGCCTGATGTGCACAGAGCCGGTCTGAAGTGGACCGTTTTCGCTCCAGGCCGGCGGACTGGAGACAACAGGTGCTTGAGAAACAGGAAGCTCGGTGCGTCAAGTGGGTAAACTCATCCTAGCGTGGCACCGGAGAGTTCAGACAAGTTTCACTCCATATTCCCCGGGAACAATACGCAAGGACACTTCTGAACGTTCTGTGGCTGATCATAGAAGCACTCCGCCAAGCTTTCATGAATCCAGGACTGATGTAGCTTGTAGTAGAGGATATGATAATTATTAGCCGTTGCCTGACGGTCGACTCGATCGTTACGACGTTAGTTAGCGTTCGTGAAAAACACACACGATATAGGATAAGTTAGTAGATTAGAGTCTGAGTCCTGCTTAATGTTCTGTATTTTTCTCTTGTTTGCACAAGACAAGTTGCCTTCGCCCAACGGAGGTTTCAGAGCCAAAACACTTGAGTGGAGTTGACGGATTGTTGTGTTTTTTTGTTCAGCGGTGTTTGTGTCACAAGGAAGACTGTTACGCCCCCTAGCAGGTGTCACCATCATTACAGATGTTTGTGTCAAAGCTATGACTGGCGTTTAATGATAGTGCATGGCCAAGTAAAGTTTGTTCTCAGGTTCTGGGATGAAATGATGAGTTTGGGGATAATCTCGTAGGTTTCTGTTCAAATCCAAGTGTTTGCTGTGGCTGGCTTAGTAAGGAGTGTACTGAACTCAGAGGTTTAATATGAGAATGTATTCCTGTATGCATGCAGACTGGACCAACAGTTCACAACGGAATTTTCATGCGTGCGACAATGGACTTTTCCCTTGGACACCCATGCAAACGGAGCCATTAAAAATCCCCGAAAATCAATTATGATTAACCAAGTTCAGAATGGATCCTTCCCGTTTCGACCCCCGTTCCATATTATGAGCCGTTCCAAAATTCAATGGTCCATCCCAGTCCACCTGTTTTTTGAGCCCCATGCAACAATGGACTTTTCGATATCGATATTGTGCAAAAATTAGCATCCAACTATGTCAATAATCAACTAAGTTATCGACATACAAAAAAATCACAATGATCCATGAGAATATTGGGCCTTATAGTTAAAAAACCTTTGCCTTTAACCTACAATGTTATCTTTTTTTAGAGGGGAAATTTTAGTGTTGGTAAAACAGAGGCCTAGTGCACTAGAGTTATTCTAAAGAGGTGGACATAACTGTTCTGTTCGTCCAAATTGCAGTCATCTTATAAGAGACATACTAGTAACTTCTTTTAGTCAATGGTCACTATTTAACAAGAGTGGAGGGGTACTTTGTATTACTAGTATGTTAAACAAAGATATAAGGCCACAGCAAGTAATTAAACTTTATGGATGACATCCTTCGAAGACTCCAAATCTAATGCGAGCGGGCGAAAAGAAAACAAGGTGGGCCGAAGAAAACAGGGTTCCTACATTTTAAATTTTGACTCAATCATTGTACAAATGGTTTTTATTCAGTGGAAACATCACGTATACACAGCCAGCATCACATATCACTGCATCAAATAAGAAACAAAACATTAATTCACAGTTATCTGCCATCCACCTTCCAGCATGGCAACAGACATCTTTGCCCATTTTCGGCATGTTGACCACTGTCAGAAGGCAACAAAATTTTTTGTTTTTTCGCCAAAATCAGGCGAAAATTAATGTGCGCGCTGATGTCATCCATAAAAATTACTTGCTGTGGCCTAATGTACAGACATCCAAAAACATTTCAGTGTAGAGCTGTAGAATTAACCATCATCAGGGATAATTACAACTTGTCATTAGTCTGTTCTACATGGTTCTACTGAACACCCAGACACAAAGATTTTATTATATATCACACATCAACATATCTACAACGAGATGAAGTAACTTAAGAACAATGTACATGACCAACACATCAGATCCAATCTACTACTATTGGGATATCAATGAATCAAATACAGAAGTTACAGTTGAGTCAAATCCAATGCAGTCAAGCAAAAATATAGCTTATAAATGCATCATGTATAGACTAAATCTTGACTAAATTATCCATAAAATATCTGGTCAAACACAGATGGAAATTGTCCAGTGTTTTTGTCTTCTAAGTCTAACAATATTGATGAAATGTAGATCACATAAACCACAAGGTTGTCGTGAACAACTTTCACAACAATTGTTATCACTGCTGATATCAGATAAACCAGAGAGAGAACACAAACTTCTTATTTTACGGTTTGTCTTACGCAAGGACAATTCAACTAATTGAGCTATCTAAAGGCTGCAAAAAGAGATATACAGAGAGATAAAACAAATAATAGCATGTCACCTTGGATATAAGCACCTTAGGCCACAGTAAGTAAATTTTATGGATGACATCCTTCGCAGACTCCAAATCTAATGCGAGAGGGCAAGAAAAAAACCAAGACGGGCAAAATAAAAAGATTCCTATCTTTTCAAATTTTGACATCATAAACGCTGTTGAACAAGAAATGATACCTATATCGTGCTAACTTAACTGCCAACTATCACAACATCCATTTGTTACTGAAACAACTTTGAAAAAGAAAAGTTTTCAATCATTGTACAAATGGTTTTGATTAAGTGGAAATGCTGATGCCATCCATAAAAATTACTTGCTGTGGCCTTATAGTGATTTCTGATTGTGGTGGATGGTTCATACTAAGGAAGTGAAGCACCTTTGAAAGTTTCGTGCCATTTTGAACTTACATTCTTTCTTCAAGTATTTCAAAGAATTGCAACAGTGGTAAGAAATTCTAGTGAGAATATTCACATTTCTTGAAGTACACTGAAAAGTAAACACCCGGTACACATGTATGTGAAAACTGGAAGTCCCTTTCTTGTTACACACTTAAGGAAAAGGTGGAGGAGGTAAGTGTGTGTCGACTTTCTGAGGCTTGGGTGGGATCTCGGATGACTTTGCATACGGACTGTGGGAGGGCAGTTGTGAGGAGAAGGAGGAGAAGTAGTCTACAGCGAAGGGGAAAATGTCTTCTGGCTTCCTGAGAAGTAAAAACTGGAGGAAGTCTGCCAGGATGGCCTGTAGCTCAGGGTGGTGCCTCATGTACATGGTGTGGTCATTCTTCAACTGGTCCTGGAACAAAAGAGGGGCAAATTCAACATCTCACAGTAGTGGTAGAAATAGTTTTTTTCAGTGTTGGCATATACAAAATTACATGTTGGCAACATTTTACAGTCATGCAATTTGAAAATTACATGCAAAATTACTTGTGCACATTATACTATAGAGTCAGTAGTAAATACAAAAGCTCTTAAACAACAGTGAACCCCTAGAATGATTTTTTCAGGTTGCTTAATTTTTCATCCGCAATATTGAAAATCTGCAAAATGTGAATTCCCATCTCCTGCATGGTTTAGTACCACCCACAAGGACTGTAGCCACTGGACTCTCCCTGAGAAAGGCTGAGAGAATCAGTCTGCCAACAGCCCGCACCTGCACAAGACTTGGCAATTCTTTTCTGCACAGTGCAATACAGGGCTCAAAATTCATAGGTGCACTGGTGAACCCAACCTAAAAAATTAGGTGCACAATTTTTTTGGGAGCACCACATAAAACAAAACCTATAATTTCAGATCTTACTGCTCCTCTTCTGAGCTTGAATCAGAAATGGGAGCTATATACCTTCAAAATCTTAAACAAGTACTACAACAAAGATTTTATGATTTTTCTGACACTTAGATGCCAAGAATATCCTGCACACTATTATACATTTGAGTTTGAGATGTACAAAAATACTTGGGTGCACCAGTGCACCCACAGAAAAAATGGGTGCACAGCTCCAATTTTGGGTGCACTAAGGTGCACATGCCCCAGTATTTTGAGCCCTGCAATACAACTCTACAATAATAGACCAATACAGTACATTGAAACAGTAAAAGTCTTCTACATCTCTAATATTGTAAAACATGATTGTTTTTAGTTGTAAATATTATGATGCAACTCTGTGCACCGTGCTGGACTAGGAATCGCTTAAGTATATCTAAATGTTGCATTGTGATGAGGACGCAATTCAGGCTACTCAGGCTCGCAAATTCCTTTCCTAATAAATTATAACCTCAAGTCCTGCTGTCTTTATTGCTAAATGTGTACATATGAAGTGCAAACATACACATGATGAATTAAAAACTTGTGTTAGGAACTTTTAATTTAAAATGTTTAAAAAATGGCCCAGATCAGTTGTAGAGTTTACAGATTTAATTTTGTGATGCCTTTTGGCTTCCCTCATCAACTAACATACTTTGAAATGCAAAGGAAATTTAACCATGGAAAAGTTCACAAGACGAAATGTTTTCATGAATATTGGAAGTTTCCTCCACTCTCACCTTCCTATCCAGGAACATGGAGAACAACTGCATGTCCTCATTGATGTCCAAACCCTTCTTCTCAAACACTGGTCTCTCACTTGGCTCTTCTGCAAAACAAATGTAGTAGACAGTGTATTCAATGGGGGCCCGCATGCCCTTTTTCGTGAGCGTAATCGGCCGTTTTAATTCTACGTCGAGCGTAGACGGACCGCCTAAATTCAACGTAGAGCATAATTGGTGCATTTTGCATAGAGCGTATTCCCAGCCTGTGTGTGTGCTTAAATTCTACGTAGAGCATTGTAGCCACTTGGAATTTATCGTAAAGCGTAATCGAGAAATTTCCTGAATTCAGCGTAATACGTAGCCAGCTCTCAAAATTTAGCTTAGAGCGTTGTCGGGACCTTCACCCTCTCCATGCAGGCCCCCTTCAATGTTCTTTTCCAAATCCTGGTGTATACATGGGATATTGTCAACTTACACTGAAGGGTTTGTTATCACTCTTCAATGATACAGAAACTAAAGTTTGCAACAGTTACAAGTGCATTAACTTTATGGGGGCACACTTGGGGCATCAATTCAATTTGATCATATTTGGGGCATCAATTCAATTCGATCATGTATTATATTGAACCATGCATTCAGAATTTCAGCTTCCTACAACAGCCCCTGTCACGCATTCATGAATTTGGCCTCCCGAACAGTAGCCGAACATCCGCCAACCATGGTTAGGTTGTCTGGCGTTCGGCTGGCATTCGGCAAATACGGCAGCTACGGTTCCGCTGCGCCAGCCGAATGTTTCAAAATGTTTAACACATTTGTGAGGTGCTCCGGAGGTTTAATCATAGCTGTCTGGTTTTCGACTTTAAGTCAGCAAAACCCATGCCAACCATCCAGTAGTAGATCAGCAGTGTTTGGGATGTGCAGAAGGATCAAATTTGGTTCAAATTTCAGTCAAATTCATTTTGATTCCAGTTTTTATTCCACCTGTTCGGTTGGCGAATTCATAGGAAGTTCCTGAATGTGTGACAGGGGTTTCAGAAAGGATCCTTACAGTTCTGCCCCTGCATGTATTTACCTTTCTCCATGATACGAGGCATCCTCAGGAGTTTCATGGTGACAGGGGAGCCTACCTGCACCCTGTTACAGAGATGCCTGGGTAGAAAAAGGTACATTATAGTATTATGTAACAGTGAACCATGGAATTTTACACAGGAACATAAACAACTGTATTAATACTAGCAGAGTAAACCTGGGGGAAAGGTGACTGACTGTTCAAAATGTTACTACTGTTAGTGTCCAGTCCTCTGTATAATAGTACGGTCCAAAAAGTGGTCGGTGATTCTAATAATCGACCACTTTTGAAGTTACAGCCTGATAGCCAATGGGAAATCAGGGCTCGAAATTCATTTTTGGGAATAGGTGCACTGGTGCACCAAATTAAGTATTTTGGGTGCACCATATATGAAACAATATAAGTAGAATGTCACTAAAAAATTATGTCTCGTTTCTAAAGAGAAGTACTACAACAATAATTTTATTATTTTTCTGACACTCAGATGTTAAGAATATGCTGTACTATACATCTAACATCTTTTTTTTGGGTATGAAAACTTGCATACAAAAATTTTTTGTGCACTCACATGGTGCACACACAGAAAATAATTGGGTGCACAGCTCCAACTTTGGGTGCACTAAGGTGCACATGCATCCAGTATTTAGAGCCCTGGAAATAGAGCCTTCTGATTGGTAAATGTCTTCTGGCTAGATAGTAATTAGTATAATTATTACATATTATATATAATTATTACAAATATAATTATAATCATTATACATCCAGGCCTAAGACTGAGACTCACCCGTCCCTGAGGAAGTAGGACTGCCATGTGGTGGGCAGGTCAGCGGTGGAGTGGATCGTCCGCTCAATCCCAACAACCTCAACCTCCTCCTTACCTACTGTCTCCCTTCTCTCCTCCAGGGATTTCTACATCAAAACATAACAACATTCATCTTTACACAAAGGGCACCTGACATGACTAATGCCTGTAACCATGTCCAGGATTGGGGTTAAAGGTATGAACCAGCTATCGTCACATACAGCTTTCAGTACATTTTTGAAAGTTACCAACTGTATCTGAGTGGCATAAGCCACTTCTGACATCAGTTAACTAATCATACAGAGAGGCTGGGATCCATGGTACATGTAGGATTATTGTGTGTTAATATCATGTGTCTTTAGGTCACTCCTGTACATCATGTAGCTTTTCACTGTTCCCTGTACAAAGTTAGCTTACCTCGTTACACAGCCTTAAGCAGGGCTCGAAATACCCATGTGCAATGTGCAAAATGCACACGATTTTCAACACTTGCAGTGGAAAATATTTTGAATGTGCAATTAACAGTGTCCAGTTTAATTCCGGAATTCCAGTTTAATTCCGGACTAATTCCCATATCTCAGCAACCTTACGTCTAGATGGGCTAATATTCTAAGATATAGGTAAAATGATGTAAGAAATACACAGCAGCCATCGGTGACCCC